TACTCCCGTGAATGAACAGAACATGTGACAAGGAAAGAAGGAACCACAGGAGCAAGAGTTGAAAGTGCAAAAGGAGCAGAGATCACGATGGGCTGATGTGAGATGTGTTTGCTGCCTCATGTTGCCCCAGGTTTGGGTTCTCGGGGACTGTTCCTTGTTGACACAATTCTCAGCTAGCAGAATTTGTGAGCAATAATCGGTGGGTCTGTGGTGTCCTACAAGGTCAGCTTTAGGGACCTGTTCAGTGTTGGTGTTGTCTTCACAGACCCAGATAACTCAAAGGAATGAGCTCCTTTCAGGAAGGACCCCTCAGGGGAGGCCAACACGTTTTATAACAAGAAGAGGGAGAGTGGAGGGATCCATGATAATGGAGAACGTTGGGGTGAAAGTTTCCCTCAGACTTCCCCATGCCTCTGAGAAGCCACTGACTCTCCAACACACCATTTCACAGGAATTATGCAGTTTGGCTTGGTCATCTATCAGTTATTGAAAGCATATGAGAGTAATCAGTTTGCATGTATTTCTTTTTTAAACAATATGTGTTTTTCTTGATTTCAGAGAGGAAGGGAGAGGGAGAGAGATACATAAACATCAGTGATGAAAGGGAATCATTGATCATCTGCCTCCTACATGCCCCTTTGCCTACCTGGCTCTACCTCCTCATGTTCTTCGTGACTCAGCTTAGACCATCATTCCCTGACCACCCACCCACAGGTCCCGGCTGAGTTAGTGGCTCCCCTTCGGTGCCCTAGCACCTACTACGCAACAGCATCATTGCTGATGGCATGGCTCTCTACCAGGTTGTGAGTTTCTTCCTTCTTTTCTTCCTTTCCCATCTCTCTTTCTCTCTCTCCTCTTCCCTCCCTCCCTCCCTCCCTTTCTCTCTCTCTCTCTCCCTTTCCCTCTCTCTCTCTCTCTCTCTCTCTCTCTCTCTCTCTCTCTCTCTCTCTCTCTCTTTCTCCACTCCTTAGTCAACAAGGCTCTGTATTCTTTACTTCTATTACTTAGATTTGATCAGATCTACCACCCCCACCCCCCTTGCATTATGCACTTGAATCATCTTGGCTTCCCTGCTGTCCTCAGTACACCGGGCAGGATGTGGCCTCGGGGCCTTTATACTTGCTGCTAATTCTGCCTGGAATGCTTCTGTCCCTCAGATCCACATAGCTAGCTTGCTTGTCTTCCTTGGGATTCTGCTTGAACGTCACCTCAGTGCAGCATTCTTTGATCATTCTATTTAAAATGGCAATTCCTATAAACTTTCCCTGCTTTCTTTTTATTTACAACTTTTATCACCATCTAACATACTCTTCTCTTTGTGCCTATACACTGCCTGTCTTTCCCCCAATCCCATGGACGTTCTACAAGGGCATCCACAGCACCTGTGACCGTACCTGGCACACAGACAGTCAACTGAGCTCAAGTGAGCTCAAATATTTGTTGAATGAATGACACTGTCATTTTTGTGATGGGAGTGAAGTTACTGATGTGATGTATTATAGGACTCTATTTCATAATGTTAAACCACTTTTGTGCTTCTAGGATAAACTCTTTTTCATCATACTGAAGAACGCTTTAAAAGTAGTTTTGCTATTACATCTGCTTGGGTTTTTTAATCTATGTGCTTAAGTGAAGTTTTTATTATAGTTTCTTATTTCATTCTCTCTTTTTTTAATGGTTTGATATCAAAGTCATCTATGCTTCATAAAATCATGGACAGCTTTCCATTTTTTCCACTCTACAACAGCACAGTGCATGTATCATGCCGACTTGCTATTTGTTGAAAGTATGAAAGAACATGCTAGTAAAACTGTTTGGCCCTGAGAAATTTTTTATAGTTAATTTTTTAAAATTACATTTTTCAGTTTCTTTTATGATTAGTAATAGATTCAGGTTTTAAGGTATTTCAAGATTTATGTTTCCAGAAGATTACTTTATAGAATTATTCCAATATAAAATCACAAGATAGTTTTTGTTATTGTCTTATATTTTATATGTCTCTCTATCTGGTATTATATTATTTTCATTAGCAGTTTTCTTTATTTTTATTTTTCTTTGTCTCTGTAACATCTTTCCGAGGCTTCTCTATTTTATTTTTAAATTAAAATTCTTTAAATTCCAACCTATTAACATAACAATAGTAATCATCTACTTAAAATTCAAATATATCAATATCCATATTTCTAAATAGGGAGCATATATACTGTTCTCCACAATCCTTAGGAATGTATTAAGTATTGTTCATTTAATTAAACAAGGTCAATTTCAGCTCTTCTTGTTCTTTTTATCTTAAATCGAAACCATATATGTTCATGTAGATTTTCTTGTAGGTGTGTGAATCCACTCGCCATTTTTATTTTTTCCTCATCTGGGTTTCTGGCTGTGAAATTTATTGGAATTTTGTTCTCCTTTATCTCTGGATTTCCTCATAATTTTTTTTCTAATCCTTTATTCCCCACTCCTTCCCTTCTGCTCCCAATTTCCTTCCCAGGACTTTCATCTAGACCCATCTGTTTCTCTCCTTTCCCTTCAGGCCAACTAATGCTATATTTTAATACCTAATTGTTAGTGTCAACATCTTGACTGGCAGAGTTTACCTTATTAGGAGTTGATTCTGAATCTTAGGCTTCTGGGGACTCCCAGTAGTGTCTTTGAGATGTGTGTGTGCTTGCTTCTGAGAAAACATAGGAAAGTATTAGAAACGAATATGATATTTTGTGCCTAGTTTAAAGCCGGTGCTAAACACTGAGTGGGGAGACACTGTTATGTTTCTTCTAGGTGGTAGCAGTAGCCCTTCGGGTGTCCTTACTGCTAGTCCTTACTGCCTTCCAACTCCCACCCATCTCACCCATCACCCCTTCCCCTCCCTCTGGTTGGAGGGACCCCTCTTAAGCTCTGAAATATCTGTAGTATCATTTAAGGTCACGGACTGTCAGGTCCTTATGTGCCTGTTGGGACTTGCTTTCTGCTTCCCCTCTGAATGTGAAATACCTTAAGCTGGAGTTTCTCTCTTTCCTTAGCTCCCATAATCTCGTTATTTCTATTTCTATTGTGAACTTACCACAGACTACTAGGTATCAGAACAAAAAAAATACCTGGTCTTTTTTTCTTGACTAAAATGTCATCTCAACAAGGGCCACAGGCATCTTTTCCCTTCTTCTTTTGATTCCCACGGAATTTTATCAAACGGGATCATTCAGTAAATGTTTTTCAACTGAGCCGAATACTATGTTAGTCAGAATTGGATAGTACAGGCTGGAGTTATCAAGAGCAGATGAATTAGGGCTGTAAAGTCAAGGTAGATGTTCATAAGCAGAGAGCTCCTGCAGGGTGGGCCTGGGAGGGGAAGCAGGCCTAGAAGTAAGTGCCTGAGCCAGAGGGATCTTTTCTTTTTGGGCACAAGGTGGCAGGCTATGCCCATGTCAGTCACCACATACAAGGCAGCTTGGTGAGGCTGAAATTTCCTGCCCTATTTTGGAAATGCGTGTTTATTTAAAAAATAAAAATAAAAAAGGGCGGAGCTCGTGCAGCATGATGGCCGAGACAGTGTGGCTGGAGCAGAGCCCCGGGCAGGCCGCCGGCGCTGCTTCCAGGTCGCGGAGCCTTCCAGGTTGGACTCCCGCCCGAGGCCCACAGCGATGCCCTGCAGATTTTGAAACATTGAATTTCCCTTAAAAGGATGAAGAACATGTGAATAAATATGCATGAACACTCAAGCTAGGGGAGAGGAAATAATATCTGACCAGAGGGTTGAAATGCAGTTTCTCCACTAGATAGCAGGCGAGGACAGACAGCCTGGGGCAGGGTCTGCCTATAAACCCAAAGAAAACATTCGTTTTCTCTAGAAGCTCATCTTCCCCCTTTAAAACGCCAGTGTTTTTCATGTGTTCAGACCACTCACATCTACCAGTCTGATAAAATCTGGGATATAAGTAGTAGGTTTACTTCAATTCATGTATATGCAATTTAAATTCGGATACAATTTTCTTCACTTTATTAATTGCCTCTAGTTTTGTGTGTGTATGTTTTTTTGTTGTTGTTTTTTTTGTGTGTTTTTTTTTTTTTTTTGTGTGTGTGTGTGTGTATGGGCATGCACAAAATAGTCTTTTATTCAAAAAGATTACTAGAAATAGTTTATTCTGGAATTCTGATGCTAAACTAATTTATTGGTTGATACTGATATCTGTTATACTTGGAAGATGGAGAATAAATTAGGGGAAAAGGTAATCCTTGTTTTCGGGTTCACTTATCATTTCTTTCAGGTTCTTTTTCTCTTTGTGTGGGAGTGAGATAGAAGTGATAACATGGTGATTTGTTTCTGGAAATAAAAATCGCCTTCTGAGGAGCTGGGAACGTGCAGCAGAGGAGAGGGAGCAGGTTGAGCAGCAGGGTGTTTACCAGAGCAGAGGGACTGCGGGGAAGAGGGACTTCCGGGAAGAGGGAAAGGCTGGCTCAGGCCGAGAGAGGGATGAGGGCAGAGGGATGCGGGCATGCTCTCTCGCAAGCTTTATTCAGCAGATTGACTTCATGGCACTGCCTTTGCCAGGCACGGGACTCGTCTTGTTGTCTCTAAAATGAATTGCCAGAATCAACAGATTTTTCTTATTGATCATTTATTACAGATTACAATATGAGAGATAACTGTTTGTTTTCATATCTATAGAGCAACAAGAGATGCTTGACATTCACACACTATTTTTAAATGACACCTATTCAAATGCTACCTATTGCAAAAATCCTTAATGATTTTTTTTTTCTTAAAAAAAGCATCATAACTTTCAATAGAATTTCATAAAGCATCGTAACTTTGAATAGAATTTCATACCACGACCCTAAAAATAGCCACAGATCTGCCCAGGAGGCTGAGTTTCTAGACTTCCCCAGTTCCCTGCCCTGTCCTTCTTCACTTTACCTGGTTCACTATGGGGCGGCTCTCCTTCACGGTCAAGTCAGGGATGTCTGGGGGTTAGAACTTGATCCCGCTGGGAATTCCTAGTGGCCTAGTCTCCCTCGCTCTCGCTGGAACTGGCGCTGTCGGATGACTCACTGCTGTCGTGCTGTCTGAGGGGCCTGAACCTCCTGTTGGGATGGGACTTTCTATGAGCCCAGGGGCCCTTTCTCTGTGGCAGGCCCTTCCCCCAGGGGGAGCTGTTCTGTCTGTGGGGTCCATACTGATTTCTCCCATTGTGTGTGGGGATAGGCCCCTCATTATTGGGGTCACTGTGGGAACCTATGTCACTGTTAATGTCATTGTCAAGACCCTGAGGAGGGGTGAGCTGGCTTGGACTTTTGCTCTTACTGGGAAATCGCTGCTTCTCACTCGAGGCCACTTGATTCCTGTTAGAATGTTCCGTACCTTCCCTACTCCCCCCTTTGCCCTTTCTCGGAATTTCATTATAATCAGTGCTTTCAGCAACGTCACGACCGCCTTCTTTCCTTTTCTCCTTCGAAGGTCCCTGAGGGTAATGAAACTCCACTTGCCCTTGGTGAGCATTTTGGCCGCCGGCATCCACTCTGTTTCCTTCTTTCCCAGGGAGTTCCCTGAAATTGGTGCTCCCTATGATGTCGTTGCTGCCCCCCACGAGGCTGACACCATCCCGGGTTCCAATGGCACCTCTGCCATCTTCTGCTCCCTCTGGGATGTCGTTATAACCCGGGCCTCCTGCCTCGGGGTTCATCGTCTCCGCTTCCCCCGGGCCGGAAAGCTCTGTTGGAATACCTGCACCCTCTGGGTCAGGACCCATAGCTTCTCCTTTGCCTGAAATGTCCTTAAAAGGTTGGCCATCTCCACTGAAAGGGGAGACATTGTCCCCCCTCACGTGAAGATCTGGATAGCCGCTGCCTTCGAAATCGCTGGGGATTTTCTTGAGTGTGGGGGGCTGTTTTAGATAGTCAGTGCTGTATTGGATGTGGTGCGTGCTTTTGCCTTTGGCCGGGGCACTGGGGGCTTGCGGATCTCTTTGATGATTCTTCTTATCTTTTGAGGGGGCTTTAGCATGGTTTGCACCTGCTGGAATTTTGCTTGGAACATTCCTGGGTTTGATATCTTTGCTTTCGTCTCCTAATGGTTCAATGGCAGCTCCTGGCGCCATTATAAGTTGTGCATTATTTCTGGTGAGAGCTGCACCATATTCTTCTTGGTCATGAAGTTCACTGAGAACATCACCTCCATCCTCAGACCCATTATTCCCAGTGGATTCGGGGTAAATGGGCATCTGTAGGTCATTGTAGGCATTATCTTTGTGACTAATACTGTAGTCTTCATTCGTTGTCTGTCTAGTTTCAAAAAGATTTGGGGATTTACTAATTTGGTTATTTTTATCAACTCCACGGAGGGACAAGTCTTTCTCTCTCTCCTGGGCAAGGTTTTCTTTAAGTGCTGGCTCTTGATTTCTTCTCTTGCCAGAAAGGTGAAGAACAATATTGTCTTTGTTTTTTTCTTCCTGGTAAAGTGTAATTTTTAGCATAAAGTGATTATTTTATGTTAACTTTTAAAAATCTAATCGTTCTTAGTTCATATTTTTAAAACTATTCTCTCTTCTATTTTCATATTCTTCTTCTCTCTCCCTCTCTCTCAAACATAGTACTGTTCTACTTGAAGGACTGCCAGCTTTTATACAGGTACTTTATAAATGTTTAAAGCAGTGAGGAAATTGTTGCATCACCTCACAGTTGAATTTCAAGGTAAAATGGTTTATGGATATGCCCACTATTCTTATGAAGCTTGCTAATATGCAATATACAAAAGTTCCAACTTGTGGTATCTTTAAAAGCTAATATGAAATGATTTATTTGAGGAGTTATAACATCATTATTCACTAATATTTTATTTGGCAGGTATATTCTGAAAATAAGGGTTTTCAGTGAGAAAAAATATAATAGAAAAAATTATACTGAGTTGTCTTTAAGTAAGAAGTATTTTATTTTTTTAATATATAGTTTTATTGATTTCAGAGAGAAAGGGAGAGGGAGAGAGAGATAAAAACATCAATGATTTGAGAGAATCATTGATTGTCTGCCAACTGCACATCCCCCACTGGGGACCAAGCCCACAACCTGGACATATGTCTTGACCGGGAATCCAACTGTGAACTCCTGGTTCATAGGTAAAAGCTCAACCACCGAGTCATGCCAGCCAGGCAAATAAGAAGTATTTTAAACATTTGACTTATTTTAAGACATTAAATCTTGCAAAGTTTTACATGGACATTTATATTTCCCTTGGCAATCAAGTTCATTTGCTTATTGCTAATTATTCTTTTGAGTTTAAGCAGGTGCCTTAGAAAATCATTAGTTTATAATAATTCCTTTTTAACTTTCCCCCCTTTGTATTCCAAAATGGGAAGTTTTATTTTACATTGAGTGCTTTCACTGCTTTTAAAACAGTAGCATATATACTAATGAATTCTGAGCATTTTACTAAAGACTGAATGGAATTCTTTTATGAGTGAAAACATAAAACAACTTTTAAATTGTTTTACATGGTGCTCAATTATTTTTGCCATTGCTTGTGTTTACTGATTGCCTGATGGTTGCACTGCTGACTATGATGATTTCTGTGTCAGCTGGCTGGTCTGCTTTCCTTTGCTCTGTTTTTCTACCTGCACACCTTCACTCATATTATTCTTTTCATGGATTTGGCCTCTCCCAGCCACTTGCTCAAACCCTACTCATCCTCCACAGCTCAATTACTCCCATTATGTACTTTCCCCCAGAACACCCGACTAGGAACTAATCTTTTTCTAACCCAAGACTGAAAGCATACTATTTTGAGTACCCTTTATGTAGCACTTTGCACATTCTGTCTTGGGTTAATGATTTTTGTAAGTGCGATTTGTTTCCTTTATAATTCTAACATCCTGGAGAGAGAGAATTAGATTCTCTCATTTTATTTCACATAGTATCTTATACAAAGTAGGAAGTGCTCAATATATAGTTTAACAGAAAGTTAGTCTTAGAGATGCAGCTGCAGAATATCAAGCAGAACAAAACAACATTCTGAAGGGGAGCTACAACTTTCATGGGAAATGAAGCCAGATTTGGAAAAAAGTAAGTAGTCCTTTTTTGCTGATGGCATTTTAAGCTGTGTCCAGCTCCTTGGCCAATGAATTGACAAGAGGAAACTGAATGAAGGAATTATTGTTCCATTCCAGCAACAAGACCCTTATTCTTTCTCTTCTGAACATCCTGACACAGGTGGTGTCCTCTGTGGCATGAATTTAAGGGACAATAGAATGTGTCACTCTTTAGGCCAAAATGACCTTTAATCCTCACCGTTAGAGCACATAGTAGTATATGCCCAGAAAACCTCCCTATAAAACAGCAAACATTAATCAGAAGCAATAAACAAAACAAAACAAAAAATTTCAGCCAAAGCCGGTTTGGCTCTGGATAGAGTGTCCGCCTGCGGACTGAAAGGTCCCAGGTTTGATTCCTGTCAAGGGCATGTACCTTGGTTGCAGGCACATCCCCAGTAGGAGGTGTGCAAGAGGCAGCTGATCAATGATTCTCTCTCATCGATTTTTCTAACTCCCTATCCATCTCTCTTCCTCTCTGTAAAAAATCAATAAAATATATTTTTAAAAATTCATGGGTGTTCGGGGTCCCCCAGTATCACATCTGGCTTGACAGGTCCTGAAGGAGGGCCAGGTTTGGGCCAGGGCCTGGGGTGGCTCCCCTGTATCAGGAAGACTCTGGAACACAGAGTCCCACAGCAGAGCCGGCTGAGAAGCCTGGCGTGTGAGGGAAGGACTAAGGCACCAGCTGCAAACCAAAACCCCAGAGCAGGAGAAAATCAAACTCTGTCTCCCTAGAATTTGTCCAAGTTGGACTCCTGATAAGGATCATCCCTCAGAAATTTAGCTTACCTTTATGTTCGTTTGATTTTTTCTCCCAGGTGATGTGTAAACATACTTGAGAATATAATACCCATGTTTCTCATGGTGACCCTTGTAGGTGATCTACAAAAACACAACATTCCAATAAGATGGGTTTGTCTCTGACTAAGACGTCTCCTGGCTCTCTTTTGGATAGCAGAGATATTTAAAATTTGGGTGAAGTCTAATTCTGCCTCTAACAAATGGCAGTTCTTCCTATTACCACAGGAGGGCGTGTGTCCACCAGTCCCTGAGGATACTAGAAGCCTGTTCCTTTCTTTTCTGCATGTCTCTAAATCCATTTTCCTTACTGCCCTCTTTCCCCGGATGTATCAATTTGATGACTGCATTTCAGTGGAAATGGAGCACTTGGAACTATTTCCAGGGGGAAGGGGCAGGGAGACTAGAAGAAAAGCAGATTTTACAGTATACATGTCTAATGTCCAATTGGTAAAACTTGCAGCATGGAAATCCAGGCTCTTAAATGTTTTTGCCTTTGTAATTTTCAACCGAGACAGAGAACAGAACATTGTTAGTTCTTGGAACGGAATTCTCTGGGGCTGCCAGAAGCAGCCGTGGCAAGTGGGGGTAAGTTGCAATTTGGTGACCTGAAAGCGGAGGGAGCTTGTTTAACTCTCTGGATGCATCGGAAACCCCACTCCCTGTAAACAGAACTCCCCGTTTAGGCTCATGCATGTTCCTTCCTTTCTTTTCTCCCTCATTTATTGCTCTGCCCCCCTGTTCATGTGTGGGAAGATGGTGTTTACTAATAACAATATCTCAGAATTTTTACTCACTTATCCCTCTGTAAGAAGGAATCGTATTGAAGATAAATCTCCATTTAGAATGCTTTTCTCTTTTCTGTTACATGTTGTGACAAAATTAAAGTGCCAAAGTTATGGTGTATGTTTTTGTACTTTCATTCTAAGTACACACAAGACTATTTTTGACAGTTAAAAATTTCCTCTGACTGGCTTTTTCCTTTACAGACTTGAAATGGGTTTATTTGAGAAGAATAACTCTATTTACCCTCTGTTCTTCCGCACAGTCTTGCCTGGTTTTCTCAGCCTGTGGTTGAACCGTCTGAGAGGAAACGAGAAATAAAACTTTACCAAGCATCCATTCTTCCATTCATGTCTTCAAATAGCAAATCTTTTATTTTCCTCTCACTGCGTTGTGCCACTCACTGTGGGAAATCATCCTAACCAGGAAAGGATGGGTACACTCGCCACATTAATATTATTCTCAGTGCCACCAGCGGGTGCCCGCACCCTCCCCCTCAAGGAGGCAATTACAGAACGACATCCACGCCAGGCTGGGGAGCACACTGTGCATTAGTTGCATAAATTCAGTAATGGTGCCTGGCCAGTGTGGCTCAGTGGCTGAGCATCAACCTGTGAACCAGGATGTCACGGTTTGATTCCTGGTCAGGGCATATGCCTAGTTAGTTGCGGGCTTGATCCTCAGTAGGGTGTGTGTGCAGGAGACAGCTGATCAATGATTCTCGCTCATCATTAATATTTCTGTCTCTCCCTCTCCCTTCCTCTCCAAAATCAATAAAAAATACATTTTAAAAAATTCAGCAATGGCCAAAACCGGTTTGGCTCAGTGGTAGAGCATCGGTCTGCGGACTGAAAGGTCCCGGGTTCGATTCCGGTCAAGGGCATGTACCTTGGTTGCAGGCATATCCCCGGTAGGGGGTGTGCAAGAGGTAGCTGATCGATGACTCTCTCTCATCGATGTTTCTAACTCTCTCTATCCCTCTCCCTTCCTCTCTGTAAAAAATCAATAAAATATATTTAAATAAAAATAAAAATAAATAAAAATAAATAAAAAATTCAGCAATGGCTTTGTGAGTTCAGATAGGCTGCCGCTGGTTATCCTGCAAGAGTAAAACCACAGCCCTGCACAGAAGGGGAAGTACCACACCCGAGGATGGAACTTTATCGTGCTAGTCACCTGGGCAGACATTTCTTCAGGACAAGGGAAATGGGGTAACCTGCAGATTGGAACAAAATACTTCTCTTGATCTGACATGAAAGTGTCAATATATCTTGAGGGTACCTGGGGTGGATGGGGAGTAAGAAGTAGCTATTAGGGAAAGGCCAGAAACTAAAAAGACATAGACCCAGGCATCTTGTTCCAGATTTTTAGGGTAAAATTTAGGTGTCACAGGAGAGTGTGCAGAAGAGCTGAGAGTCCTGGAGCAAGCTCGCCATGGAAGCAACAGGCAAACCGATTCTTTTAGTCTTGGCATTTTTACTTTCTCTTTATTTCTGAAATTCCCAAGTTATCTCATGTAGCAAGAGGAGACAATGGGTGGGACTGGTTTGTGTCTGACTGTGTATGCTGAAGGGGAAACGGGCATCATGGTGGTGTCTGCTGTGTAAGAGAGAAAACCCTTAAGGGAAAGAGTCTTATGCCTGACTAAGCCTTGGAATTCTGTATTTCCCAGCCATCAGATACGGACGGGTATCCTGCGTGCTTTCAGATACCATATTTCTGCTCTCTCTAGTGATCTCTGCACATGCTATTTGTGAGTTACTTTGCCATCTGGCTCCAGTCTGGGCTTGGCTGATGGGAGATCCACTGGGAACTGAAGGGTAGAAGGAGGAGCCAAGGTGTGTCCTCCCCTGCCCTCCCCTTTGGGCTGCTTCTCTAGGAGTGGATACATCTCCTTGTGCTCCTATTTCCTGGTACCCCCAGGACTGGGACCACCACCTCCTTCCTTGTTCCTCCAGCCCAAGGCAGGCTTCATGTTGCTTCATTTCATAGAACCCTGAAATCATCTTAGAAATAAACTCAAAACTTTAGTAAAAGTGCTCTATTGGCTGAGCTCTAAGGCAGATCTGCTTGAGAGGCCATTCCATTCCAGAAACAACAGAAGTTAGCCAATTGCAGATACAGAGGACGAACTGGTGACTGCCAGAAGGGAGAAGGCAAAGGGACCGCAATAAAAGGAAAGGGGATTGAGAGGTACAAATTTCCAGTTATAAAGTAAGTCAGGGACAGGTAACGTACGGCCTAGGGAACAGAATCAATAATATTATAACAACTTTGTATGGGAACAGCCTTCTGGTGGCGATCACTTTATATTATATGAAAGTATTGAATCACTATGTTGTAAACCTGAAACTAATGTAATATTGTATGTCGATTATAAACCAACTTTGAAAAGACAGAAAAATGCACATTAAAGAAATAACAAAATATAATTTTATACTCAATGAATGTGTATCTAGAGAGAAGGACAGTATAATACATATCGATGGTGAGAATATGAAAATGTATAACATTTGGGGAAGAAAATATGGCCATATCTATGGGAAAAAATACAGTTTCTTCTATTTAATACTTCTATTCTCAGAAATCTACCAATAATAGAAAATAAAAGAACAAATTTGTATGCAAAAAATAGTGTGTCGATGACATCTTATATTTATATAGCACTATACAGTTTGTAAACTACTTTCATGTAAATAATCTCATCTGATTCCCATAATAATCCCTCTGAGAAAGGGAGTAGAGAAACAGAATTGCCTACACTTACACAGCTGGTAGCACTAATACAAGTTAAGGAAATATTTTGACCTAACGCATCTGCCTTAAAGTCCCAGGGTTAAAATAGTACATTTCTAAATGGGCTGATATATGGGAAAAACATTTTTATTAATAAGAGGTAATGTTCCTACACTTTATATTAAATGCTTTCAGGCATACTTTATCATTTTATTGCCTTTTTTATGTTGGTTCTTAAATGATCTTGTGCATTTACATTTAGATCTTTGCATCATTTCTCAAAAATATCAAAACAGTGAAAACAAATCTGGAAATGGGCTACAGGAAAGAGAAAGCATAAAAATTAGATATTAATTTTAAAAAGAAATGACAGTTTGTGGTACTTGGCATCTTCTTAAAGAGCATAAAACATGAACATATATTAAAAGCATACTTGATAGTATAGAATACTTAATATAGTTCACAATCATAAATCCTAAACTTATAACAGGGTAACTTATCACAAAGTCTTTAGAGTCAATTGCATATTGATGAATACCAATTAAATTACATGGCCCAATAATCAATGCTTCTCTGTTCTACTGTTTTTAAATTTTGTTTTTGAAGGAAACCAGAACATGGCTCCCACATCTGCCTCTTTGACATAAAATTTGTTTTGAGCTGAAGGCAATGAAAAAGTAGTAAGGAAAAGAAGTTCCTCCTCTCCTGTCTAAAGGCAGGAAATAAATTCTCCTTTTACGGCAGGCAGACGTTTACCAGTCCAGAGACCACACCTGAGGAATGTGCAAGCAAACCTTGTTAAACTAACCCGAACGTTCTTACCGGAGGAAGATAAGGACTCCCTAGCCCTAGCTGGACTACCCATAGCCCAAACCTTTTTGTTTCGTCAATGCTTCACAAATTTGTTTCTTATTCTAAAAGGTAAAAATGAAATCTTCCTGCCCCGGTCACTTCTTCAGGTTTTCATTCTCTTAGGAAGGCTTTCCTTGCATATAAAAATTCAATAAACTTGTATGCTTTTCTCCTCTTCACATATCTTTGTCAGTTAATTTTCAGACCAAGGAGAGTCAGGAATTTTTTCCCCTCCCCTTCTATTTGAATCTGGAATCTGAATTTTCCCCCCTCCCCTTCTATTTGAAACTATTATTGACTGATTTAGATAAACGCTCAAATAGAATCTATATATCTGGGAGAAAACATAATCTTTATAATTCCAAATTTTGTTTCTATGTCTTTGCAAATCCTCTTTCCTTTGAAATGTGCTCCCCTCCCACCTCCCCCCTTCCCACTTGGCAGCTCTCCCAGGCTTGACTGGCCCTGCGATGGTCCAGTGGTCACTGGATGGATGTTGACACAGGGCATTTACTGGAAAATGGTTGGAGAGTGCCACTCCCGCTGTTCCTTGGACTGTGCTGCTCAAAATAGATTCATCCCATGGCTGGTGGGACTGAGCTGGGTCAGCAAGACCCACTTGACCCCCATCATGCCTTGCGGCCGCCCTGTGGATGGGGCCTGGCAGATGTCTATTTTAAGCAGCATGACCCCCACAGGACTGCCGGAGGCTGTCCGCTGAGAGGGGACAAGCTTTCCTCCACTTCTGCTGTCTCTTCCGATGACACGGTTCATGCTTGTCAGTGGGTGACCCACTGGTCGCCCACTCTCTCAGGACCTATATTTAAGTACTTCTTTTTTTTTTTTTTTTTTTATTTTTATTTTTTTTTGCTCTTTTATTTTATTTTTTTTTTTAAATAAGTTTTTATTGTTCATATTATTACAAATGTTCCTTCCCCCCCACCATTGCTCTCCTCCACCAGGTTCCCACCCCACCCTCTGCCCTTTCCCCACTCCCCATTGTCCTCATCCATAGGTGCACAGTTTATGTTCAGTCTCTTCCCACATCCCCCTCTCCCCTTTTCCCCAAGAATCGTCAGTTCACTCCCCTTCCATACCTCTGATTCTATTATATTCAACAGTTACTATTGTTCATCAGTTTTTTTTTAATTCCCTTGGTTTTTAGATTCACTTGTTGATAGTTACATATTTGTTGTTCATAATTTTTATCTTTGTTTATTTTCTCTTCTGAAAGAACTCCCTTCAGCAACTCATATAAGTCTGGTTTGGTGTTGATGAACTCCTTTAGCTTTTTTTTATTAGTGAAGCTCTTTATCTGACCTTCGATTCTGAATGATAGCTTTGCTGGATAGATTATCTTTGGCTGTAGGTTCTTACTATTCATCACCTTGAATATTTCTTGCCATTCCCGTCTGGCCTGCATGGTTTCTGTTGAGAAGTCAGCTGACAATCGTATAGGTGATCCTTTATAGGTAACTACCTTCTTTGCTCTTGCTTCTTTTAATATTCTCTCTTTGTCTTTTGCTCTTGGAATTTTAATTATGATTTGTCTTGGTGTGGTCCTCTTTGGATTCCTTTTGTTTGGAGTTCTGTGCGCTTCCTGGACTTGTAAGTCTAATTCTTTCCCCAGGTGGGGGAAGTTTTCTGTCACTATTTCTTTCAGTATGTTTTCGATATCTTGCTCTCTCTCATCTTCTGGGACCCCCATAATTCTGATGTTGGTTCGCTTGAAGTTGTCCCAGAGGTTTCTTACATTATCTTCAATTTTCTGGATTCTCTTGCCTTCTAGCTTCTGTGGAGGAGTGTCTTCTGGCTCTTTATGTTCCAAATCTTTGACTTGATTCTTGCGATCTTCCCTTCTGTTTTTAGGACTCTGTAAAATATTTTTTATTTCAGACAATGTATTCTTTATTTCTTGTTGTTCCCTTATCATTTCTTGATGACTCCTTATTAATTCTAGTTGATTTCTTTTCATGTCCTCATAGGTCTTATCCATCTTTTCTAGGAAATTCTTGAAAAACCTTATAAGCGTAGATTTGAACTCTATATCCAGTCGCCTTTTGTCCTCCATTTCTTTCGTTTGTGATCTATTTGGTTTAGGCATTTTCGCAGGCAGCTTTCCTGATGGGGCGGGGTTTCAGGGTGGAGCCTACAGCTTTGGCTTCCGTCAGCCCCGCCCTATGAGACTCCTGAGACTCAGGGTCCTTCAGTACTTGTTGTAAGCGCCTCTGAGAGAAAGGCGCCCTCGATTTTCGCCTGCTGCCAAACAGTCTAGGCTCTCCCCTAATGAGCCCGGTATTGGGGTTCAGTTCAGTTGGAAGTGGAGTTGGAGGAGGCGTTCAGAGCAGACTGGAGCCCCTGTCTCCTTCCCGCCAGGCAATCCCGTGGCACAGCCGGCCGTCCCTTCTCTGCGCGGCGCCGCCGGGACCTCCTTTCGCCTCTTCCCCGGGTTCCGCCTTACAGCCCAGCTCCCTCTGGCTGAGCCTGAGTCCCCGGGGTCTGGCCTAGGCCTGGGGTTCAGAGCAGTCGGGGGCCCAGCACAGTCAGAATTTTATCTCCTTCCCGCCAGGGAACGCCCGCCAGGCACTCCGCCTCCCTCCTCTCCAGCTCTGTCCTCTCCGCGCGCCGCGTGTCTCCGTACCTTCGGCTTTTCCAGCTCCTCCGCGCTTCCTTCTGGTTTCCTCCTTGCTTCTCGTTGTAGAATTTCCAGTCAGTCAACTTTCCTGTAGTTCTGGGTGATGTCCATTTTATATTTTATTGAAATTGTTGTGTGAGGCTGCAGCTAGGTATTCACCTGGGCGCAGCCATCTTGGAGGACTGCAGTGGGTTTTTTTCTATTTAAGTACTTCTGGCAACAGAATGACTGCCGGTTTCCATGGTTCTCCAACCGAAAGGTTGCTCTGGGAAGTTAGGATGCTTTCCAGACATTATCTAATTGGCACTGTGTCTGCATGGCAGAAAATATCGGTTGACACTCAGCATTTTCACAAGATAATTTAGTCACATCCTGAGGACTCATCTGGGTGAATCAGAGGGGAAAAGAGACACAGGGGAAATGGGAGCTTGGTTTGGGGTAAGCTTGGGGGCACTGCCTCCCATCTTTAGCCTCACTGAGGAAGAGAAAATCATCACCAGGATCTCACATGTTGAGGTGCTACAAGAAGCTCTGCTCCTTCTGTGTTTCATATAGTTACAAAATCTAGTTGTTTAGCATTAAAGTTCTCAAGTCATTTTCCCCCCTGTTTTCAGTAAGATATTGGAAAGTTCTTTTGACATGTTATAATTTGGGTCTCTGAGCCTTTTCTCATTAGTGTTAGCTGATTTCAAACACTGTGGCTGGCTCTTGGTTTTCTCAAAAGGACTCTTTCTGGTGTTTCCTAAAAGGCAGCGTGTGGACATGTTTTATTCAGCAAATGTTCGTTGAAGGGCTCCTTGGTGGGTAGGTTTCGGTGCTTTCTTTTTGCTTCATTATCACTGAACTAGGTAAGCATTACTAGTTTGAAAAGACATTCCTTAAGAGAAAAATAGGTAAAAAGAGCGATAGGTTTTATGATTCGTAACTAAAATCAGAAATGCTTACAGGTGCTGCCCAGGTCAGATGGGATAGAAGCAGTCCCACGCAGACAATTTGCATCTTTGAGAATCTCTGTAAAAAGACAATGTATTTTACTCTAAAGCATTGCGAATTACAAACTGCAGTTCTAAAAATAAACACAATACAAAAGTATATTCAAACACCCTTCCCCTAGAAGTCCTTTTTAAATTAAAAAAACAACAAACTATGTATAACTTACTTATACCCAAGTGTGGATACTTTTATGAAAGTGCTTTCATATGTCTAATTATTTCATGTGAAAATGAAAATTATTCAATATTATTGTTTTTTATTTTTTAATCCTCACCTGAGGGTATTTTTCCATTGATTTTTACAAAGTGGAATAGAAAGGCAGAGAGAACTATCCATGTGAGAGAAGCACATTGATTGGTTGCCTCCTGCATGAACCCCGACCAGGGCCCAGTCTGGGGAGGAGTCTGCAACCAAGGTATATGCCCTTGACCGAAATCCAATGCAGGACGCTTCTGTCTGCAGGCTGATGCTTTATCCACTGAGCCAAACGGGCTAGGAATGTCCAATGTTAGTAAGACAATGAAGTCAGTTCATATTAACAAACTTTATAGATTTCTTTATTTGCTCTACAATCAGCCTAAACTTGTTCCTTTTGTCTTTAGAGAGAGATCATTTAATTTAGTGACTTATATAATTCAAAATAACATTAAGTTTAGTATAGCAGCTTATAGCATACTCTTTAAATGATTTGCCAGGTTAGAAGTCTCCATGGTGAGGAATATAATTTTGCCTGCTACCAGGCTGGTTCCCCAATATATGTTCTTATATTCACTAGCAATGTATCTGATCTAGTATCCATCCATGGGCTGGAGAGTGAAACAATTGATGTAATAGCTAACATATATTAATACTAAAATGAATTAAGAACTATTCTAAAAATTTTACACATATTCAATTAATAAAGACTCATAATATCCTTATGAGTTAGGTGGCATTTACTATTCATGTTTTATAGGTTAAAAATAGACACAGGAAGTCAAGTAATTTGTCTCAGAATTCCCAAGCATTGAGGGTCAGAACTGGGCTTAATAACTGGCAATGTAGCCAGAGAACCGGTATTCTTAATCAAAACTTTATGCCACTTGAAATGTTTCCATTCTTTAATTTATTACAGAGAAACCTATATGTAGTTGATTTAAAGGCAAATAATATTTGATATTGAATGCAACAAAAGTATGTTTAAAACATTAACATTTAATGGAACAGAATGACAAATCTCAGTTAAAGGAGAGAATGGGAAGAGATTAACCAAAGAACATACATACTTGTATGCATAACCCATGGACACAGACAATAGTGTGGGGAAGACTAGGATGGGGAGGGATCTGTGTGAAGGGGGCAAAGGGAGGAAATGAGGGACATCTGTAATACTGTCAACGATAAATTTTTAAAAATTATCATTTAGCTATGGATAAAGATACATGTTTATCCTTTGGTAAATATACTAAAAGGATCTAGTTAATTCACTGAAGTCAAGTGGCCATTAGATTGGAAATAAAGTCAACATAACATTGAGTCACTAGTCTGTTGATTTTAATGCAGATTAAGTATTTTACTAACTACCACACAGACATATAAGAACCAATATGAGAATTAAAAATGTATACCACTATTTGAGAATACTTGGAGAAAAACACTTTTAATGGGAAAAATAATCTAAATATTGCTGTAATATTTAAACATTTCAGAATTAAAAACACATTTTATTTGAAGAAATACATATAATTATCAAATATATTCTAAAATTCTAGGCTATTCTCTTCAAAATTAACATAATTTTAAGAACCTTAATTCTATCTGTAATGTAGCCATCCATGCATTTTGCAGATCAGGACAATGCAAGCCACTTATTAAACAACATAATGCTGAGAAATACTCATCCAGATGATACCAACACCGATGAGGTTGTAAAGTATGAATAAGATCACATTATCCTTATCCTGGTTATACGTGAAGGGATGGTGTACTATTAGAGTATTTGCGTTATTGTGGATCTTGATAATGCTGACCGTCAAATCAAAGAAGAAATTGCCATCAGTTTTAGTTATTAATTTCTAGAACTTGGTAATGTACTTCCTGTTGTATAAAACAAAGCACTAAATATTACACGGTTGTGCTCAATAGAGAAAACCTTCAATCTGCATTTAGTTTCAAAAGTCATCTCTATACCTGATTGGTATGCGTCCTGAAAATGTAAACAATTGCATTATAAAGCTATCAAGAAAGCCAAGTTACCTGGTATCCTTTAGCCTCAGACTACCTGGCTTCTTCTTCAGGATTAGCAGTTTCTGGCATTTTGCTGAAATTTAAAGTTTGTTAGAGTCCCCAATGGCCAATCAGCATTGTTTCACTTAGCACCAGCAAAAACAATTTGTTACCAGTGCCCACAGATAACCATAGGGGGCAAAGTAATTTTAATCTAAAAATGTTTTTGCGGTGGAAAGCTGCTATCAAATGTTCCAGAAAGTTGGGATAAACAGAAAATATAAATACCTCAGCTTGGTATATCATATTGTCGGATCATTAAAATTGATTTCAAAACCACTGATTAAGACTGACTGAATAATTAACAAGCTTAAAAATGGAAAATATTTTAGCAATAATTTTATGTAGAAAGTTTATAATTTCAACTTTGTCTGAATTAAACTCAGTAACACTTAAGAAAAATGTTGAGCTCCTGTTGTGTGGCAGTCATTGGGGAAACAGCATGAACAAAGGAGAAAAAAAATACCTTTCTTCATAGAGTTTATAATCTGATGGGGAGATAGATAATTCACAGAATAAATAAGTAAAATATAGTAAGTTATACAGTGACATGGACTTAATCTAAGAAGAAAAGGCATTGCAGGAAGGGTGTGGGGACCCTAGGTTAAAATTTTAGATAGGGAATCCTGGGAAGGGTTCACTGAGAGGTAACTTTTGAGTAAAGACCGGAAGAGGATGAGGAGGACTCAGAGGCAAGAGCTTGCTTGCTTCTTCCAGAAACAAAGAAGAGATCAGCTTAGCTGAAGGGACTGACAAGGGGAATAACAGGAAATGAGGTCAGAGAGGCATCAGGTGGCAGATGATAAAGGGCCTATGGGTCATTGCAAAACTTTGGCAGGAGAAGAAAGCCCTTGGAGGTTTGGGGCAGAGGAGTAACTGAGGGAGCAAAGGAGGTAGGAATAGGCAGAGCCTGGCTGGGAAGCTCTGTGGGTAACGTGAGGAAGAGCTGATTGGGACGTGAACCAGAGTGGTAGCAGAAGGGGTGGGAAGGAGTGGTTATGTTCTGAATGTATTTTGAAAGTAAAGGCAGTAGAATTTGCTGATGCATGAGATGTGGGTCCTGAGAGAAAATCAAGAATAAAGGGTGATACCAAGTTTTTTTGTTTTGAGCAACTGGAAGGATAAAGCTGCCTTTTATTGATGTTGGGGAAACTGCAGAAGTGATGTGGGGGGAAATATTGCCAGTTTGGGTTTGAATATGAATGTTATAAAGTGGTCAGTTGAGGATGTTGACTTTCTGAGTAGGTGGACACAATATACCATATTGGAATATGCTTCTCTGGGAAAATTGCCTGTTCTTCTGTTTTTTCCCAATCTGGTTGTCAAAATCATAGTTGTAATAGTTCAAGAGGTTCCAGCCAGTCTAAAAATATTATAATACCTTGAGGGGTAACTTATATATTAGGAACCTATGTGAAACATCAATAAAAGATAAGTGTTCTTTATGACATGCCAATTGATGAGAACTACCAATAAATACAATTTCAACAGATCTAAATGCTATCTAATGAGAGTTAAGTATAAACGCCCACTTTCCCCTAACTTCCTGTTTAGACAAAGAGAAAGAAATGAAACAAACAAATAGTCCTTGGACAGCTGCAGCTGAGAGAATGGTGTCTTTTCTAGTTCAGAATAATCCCTGTTTTTGCTTCATCCAAATTCTGAAGCTCCTCTTCTGAGCGGCTGGACCTGGTTTTTAAAACACTTGCTGGGACTAAAATTTGAGCTATTAAACTAGGACCACTGTTGACTCTCAATCATTCCACCATGGATTTCAGAGTATTTAAACATTGTCATTGACAATGGAAACCTTTAGCTTAATTATATTTAGAATCAAACTTACCTGAGTTCTAGTACTGACTTGCTGAGTCAGTTGCTTAAGCAACTAAATTGAGCTTCTGTAAACCTCAAGTTTGCTATCTGAAAACAGGGGGAGCATAGTAATAAGCTAAATTTTCATTGAGTAGTTACTCTGGTACAAGCACTATTCTAAATGTGGTACATTGCCCTAACCAGTTTGGCTCAGTGACTAGAGCGTTGGCCTGCAGACTGAAGGGTAACAGTTCAATTCTGGTCCACGTCAAAAGCCTGGCTTACAGGCTCGATCCCCCATAGGGGCATGCAGGAGGCAGCTGATCAATGATTCTCTCTTCATTGATGTTTTTATCTCTCTCTCCTTCTCCCTTCCTCTCTGAAATCAATAAAAATATACATACTTTAAAAAAGAGTAAACTATAACTGTTTTTAATAATAAATAAATAAACAAAGTGCACTAATTCATTTAGTGTTTACAAGAGCTCTATACTGCAGGTGCTTTTAGTGATGAAGCATAAAGCAGTAAAGTGACTTGCTTAGGGTCACATATCTAGCTCTTATAAAAATCCAGAATTTGTAATCAGGCAATCTGATTCTGAAGTGAGGTTTGAAAACCACAACACAATACTATCTGATAGAGTCAGCATAAACACTAAATTAACAAGTGTCTACATGGTGCTTAGTCTAGCACCTAATTCTAAATTAAATGATAAATAAAAGCTACTCATCCCACCCAGTCTTCCTATCATTAAATTCAGATGACATCCTTCTGTGTCTCTTTTTGTCCTCTGCTTTCCCATGAGGTCGTCTTTTACAACTTACTTAATAAGGGGAAAAAGCAATGCCATAGTGAAAAATATGATAGAACTATTTCACGTTTAAGAACTATTTATCTAGACATCATAAATATTAACGACCAGAATTTC